AATACGTTGTTTTATATGTCTGCTTCGTACCAGTTTGTGCACTCCTATAAATCGCCTCTATCATTCTATGCCGAATAACAGCATCTTCCCAAGTAGGATATAAGCCTCCTTCTTTTGCGAACTCGTCATATGCTCTTCCAACGTTGATATGAGTACCTTGTTCATCATGTACTGCAATTTCTATCATATCTTCGCCATCGAAGCTTGCGTAAAGTGTTGGGAAAGAGAGTTGCAGGTGTCCATTTGGTCCTCTAACTTGTAATTCACCATGAGTACCTTCAACTTCCCACAATAAATTCGTACCTTTGTATGATCCACCACGTAAATGAGCTGATGCATATGCACCGGAAGTCAAGACTCCACTGACACTCATCTGATCATGAGATGTGAGTGGTATATCACGAATTTTGTTTCCTTTTTCATCCCGAAGTTCGATAGTCTTTCTTGCGTTATGAGTTGTTGCGGTAAGTGATTCAAATTCTCCCAAGATATAGCACATAGCATCTAATAAATGGCCACCAAGTATAGTAATCATGTTTGCTCCATTTTCAATGTCAGCGAGATATGCATTGCCTTCATTTACTGCAGCACCCCAAGCTATACCTCCTGCATACAGATGTGTAGACAATATTTTGCCAAGCTTTCCAGAACTAATTATCTCTTTCATCTTCTTGACAACAGAAGACTGACGTCCTTGTAGTCCTACCATTGTTTTTACACCTTTTGAACGAGCCAATTGAGTAAGTTCCTCTGCTTCTTGAAGATTTCGTCCAAGAGGCCATTCAACGATAGCATTTTTGCCTTGTAAGAGAGTAGGCATGATGAGAGATTTATGTAGCGGAACTTTAACAGATACAACGACAGTATCAATGTCTGGATCTTGTGCTAATTCTTCTGATGTTGCATAGTATTTATTAACACCAAATGCTTCAGCTGAAGATTTCGAAGATTCAATAGTCGAATTTGCAATTGCTTTTATAGTGTAGATCGAAGAATTTTTCAAATAGGATTCATGAGCACTCGAAGCCCAGCCTCCTTTTGAGGAAAGACCGATAAATCCAATGTTGATTCTAGAAGACATAAAAGATTGACGAATGCGATGAGTTTATATGTACGTGGTGTATATGTCTGGCGTGTTTGTGCTTGTCGAACGTTCTTATCAATATATAAAAAAGATGCATTCGTCATGCTGACACGTTTTTTTGCGTTCTCACACACTCAAAAGTAATCTGAGGTCTATTGAATAAATATACTTCGTGCTTTGTTATTATCATATATACCAAGGTCTTTTCTAATAGAGTGAAGTTTGAGTGAGGAAAAGAAACATCAGTCACCAAAAGAAATTCTGTACAACACTATTTTTGCGTTTAAATGTGTAGTCCGTTACTTTCAAATGCATTTCTATTGTCCAACAAAAGCTGTTTAAATATAGTTTATATTTATTGCGTTTTATGTTTGTTGAAGAGATATTTTTAAAAGTAAAGATATGCAATTTGTTTTATATTTTATATAATGGATCATGATGCAACGTTAGAGTTGAAAAAAAAACTTTGTTCGCTCCACGTGCGTTTTTAATGTACATTTTTTGTTTCTTTATCTGTTACACATAAATGTGTAAGCCTGTGCGCAATATAGCGACTATATAGGAAAGATAAAACCCTGAGAAGAGTCATTCAATGATGCAGTAAAACATAATTACTTGATTTCAATTCTAATCAATACAGAAAAGTATAAAGCAGAATATAATCTGTTTATGATATAAAGAAGAAATGACACTGTTTACAAATAAGTATAGGATTCGATTGTGCATCCCACGACAATGAAACTGTTATCTTCGGACGAAGTTGTGATAAGATATAAAAACTGAGTAAATATGCCATGGAAACAAGTAGCAATAGTTTTTCAAAGGCAAATACCTGATTCGAAAAAGCTCACGATGAAACATTCACTTATTATCTTTGTTCTCGTTGTCAGTGCGTATTGTGCACCGATATTTGATGAAAAATTGGACAATGCGTGGACATTATTCAAACGTGTCTATAAAAAACAATATGAATCTAGAGATGAAGAAACAACACGGTAATTGAATAACATTTTCTGAATTGTAGTTGCATCTACTGATTATTTCTCGTAAACGAGCTATATGGGAAGCAAATGTTCGAAAGATTCGTAGGCATAATCTAGAAGTAGATCTGGCTGTTCATATATACACCATGAAAGTGAACCAGTTCGGTGATTTGATATGTTTCTGACTGTAGTTTAATATTTCACGGGAATACTATGTAGATGTTTCAATACATAGATACATGATGAGTTTAAGAAACGCATGAATGTACTTAGAAAAAATATAAATACTGATACGAATAGATTTGATAGGCACCGATTCTTGGTCCCTGCAAACATTGCCATTCTAGATAACATAGGTCAGTTTTATGATTAGTTGATAGGGAAATATTTAAGTATGAGAGCATGAATTTCGATTGGCGTGAACATGACTCTGTCACTTCCGTTAAGGATCAAGGTGAATGTGGTTCATGCTGGGCTTTTTCTGCTACTGGTGCACTCGAAAGTCAGTACTTTGTCAAAACTAAAGTGCTTGTTTCACGGTCAGAACAAAACTTGGTCGACTGCTCTACCAAGTTCAGTGACAATGGTTGTAATGGTGGTTTGATGAATAATGCTTTTGAATATATCAAACAAAATGATGGCATAGACACGGAGGATAGCTATCTATACAGAAGCATTGATGACAAGTGTCATTTCAAACCAGAGGATGTTGGTGCCACTGATGTAGTAAGTTTTTTTTTGAGAGATCAAGAGTAAAATGAGGTCAATTCGTTTCATTTCGAATATCTCTCTTTCTCAAACTGATAATAGGTTTATGTAGTGAAATATATTTCTATGTCACAAGCTTTATTCATGAAGAACCTTACTCTTTGACTTTTTTTTTGGATACGAGCATCAAATGGCTGAGTTTGTCATAAAACTACTCCATGCACAGAGAAATTTCACATGTAGAAATGAATTAAAATTACAGATTTACGAATGTCGTTACTTCAGAAAAACAGAGAAAACCTATTGTACAAAAGAAAAGACAATACCAATCGAATACTATTATCTCCACAAACGTCTCGTGAAAGTGAAGTAATAACAGAAAAATTTGTCGATGATTTGCTTTATAAAGTAAAAAGCATTCGAGTTTCTCTCATAGGGTTTTGCTTATATCAAGGCAAAGAACGAAACTGATCTCACACTTGCTATGGCTACAATTGGTCCTATTTCAGTCGATATTGACGCTTCGCAAGAATCTTTCACGTTTTTATCACAAAGGTGTGTATAATGAACTCGGCTGCTCGTCAACCAATCTCGACCATGGCGTGTTGGCTGTTGGTTATGGAAGTATTACAATCAAACAGAAATTAGATTATTACATAGTCAAGAATTCATGGAGCTCTGATTGGGGTGATTATGGCTACATCTTGATGAGTCGCAACGCGAATAATCAATGTGGAATTGCTACTTCAGCGAGCTATCCACTTGTATAGAGTTGTGATCATCGTTCAATATAACTGATGTGCGAGATTGTCGTCATCATTTTATTAAATAAACGTATGTGGAAGCGTTGATACTGACCATTGTCATTCGCATATCCTTTATCTAAAATAGATGTTGTTGGGTAAACAATTTACTTAGGAAATTTGAATCAGATGCTCTTTAGACAGAAGCAACAGGTATATACATATTGAGTGTTAAGAAAAAAGTAGAAGATACCGACAAATAACATAATACAGTTGGAAAATGCATGAATTACTATTTCAAAGCAAGAAACATAGTAGAGGAAGAAATCAAGAGAATACATTGGGGAAAATGTCCGATTGAACGAACAAATATGGTTAATATCTTTAACAGATTTGTCTTTTGGTAAGTTTTACGGAGCGATCATAACACTATCTCCATACGGCATCATCTGAACTATTGAGAATGTAGGTGTCACTGCAACGATGAATATAAGAGAGACCCTCACATGCATCTGAACAAACGCTCTATTATAATTTTCTTAGTACATGGATACCCAGAAAACTCACTGCTTCTACTTGAATAGAAGCATTCTCTCATTAGAGTAAGTTGTGTGTAATGGGCATCTATACGATCTTCCTATTGCAAGTATCTTCTTATCCAGTAGCATCGGTATACACAGTTGTTAATGTCAATCTATAGCATGTAAATGTTCTTCATAAGGATAACGTTCAAGTTGTATTAATGAAGATATAATGTCAGAGATTAGGTGATTGTTACTTAGCTCCAGATTTAATCGAAGTATAAAAGTGTGTGCATCCTTGAATCGATACATTACTTTGATTGCAACGTTCCTTGCCATGAATAATTCCTGTCTTTTGGTTACACTTGCTTTGTTGTCTATTAGAATATTGATCCATGGGCTGTTGCAGTCTCAATGCGTGGTGGTAATACAAAGACTCGTAAATTCAATTCGTTGCTCTTCATTCATCGACGATGATTGTTCTCTCATCAACAGTCTATTGAGTCTGTGAATATACTGCGAATTAAAAACTTGATTATCTCATGGGTTGTCAACTGACATTTTTGCCAGCATACTCTATGAAATATACAAATGTACACTGAATAATTTTAGAGAAACCTACTTCTATTTAAAGCATTCTTCAATGGTTAATCTCGATCGAACCTGTAAAATTGCACTTCACAACTGTTATATTGAAATTTATGAGTCATCTCTTAAGAATGTTTTCATAACTATTCGTATGGCATGAGAATATGGAAGTTTGGCATTGCTTTAATCTTGTACCAGCCTTCTTGCCATATCTACGGTACCCTATAATAGTGTTACGGGAATAGCATGTCGACATGTCTGCGAATCTGTTTTAAAGGTCAGAAAACCGTATTGCAACAAATGAAACAAAATTTTTCAAATTTATGACTTCAAATTCATTAATAATTGATGAAAGTCCGGAATTCGAAAACAAAAACAAAAGAAGATGTGTAGGTGTGGCTGTAGAAATGGGGTATAGGAGTGTTAATCTTCTCTTCATACCCATACCCAGCCTTCTTCTTTGTTCAAAAAACAGTATTTCCTTAATGATTATGGAAGATGCATAGCCTGGCCTGGCTTAGACTGTCATATTGACCATAGTTACGAGCAATTTCAATATATGAAAGTAACGAGAAATTCTTTATTCGATGAATTATGCAAATAAAAAAAAGCTTCATGAATGTCTTAAACATGTAAATTACTTTATTGTTCTTCTCCAAACAAAATGAAACAATCATCGTTTCAAAAAAAACAGAAGAGCGTCGGATGATTGTAGTAGAAATGAGTAATATCAATAATTAAACCCAGAAATGAATCCATTCATTTTGGTAATCGATAGCAAATGCATCATTGATTTGTGTATGACTATGATCGATCAACCATTTGTGAAGAGCTTTCTTGGCTTTTTCAGACAAAGGACCTTTTATGCAGACATAAATCCGTTTTTCTTCCTTCGACATGTCCCCTGCTTGCGATATAGGTGAGTCGATGAAAATTGTTGAATCTTGCACAGACAGAACTAGATGACGAATATGAGTAAACTGTTTTAGAATAACATCTAATCGTAACGTATGAATGTCGCGTAGGCGAAAAATTTCGAGACATACGATTCGTTGTTGTAAACGTTCATATACAGATTCATTATCTATTATTGTATTGAAGCAATCAAAATCAATCGAGAGGTCATAGAGACGAGGAGCTGCCTTGAGCAAATGAAGCAGTTCACATTTTCCCTCTACATGAAGATGTCTCAGTCGAGGTAAATGTAAATCCACTGCTTCAGTAAATTGCATCATCGTAGCTAAAGGATAAAAAGTCATAAATCAATTGTTCGATAGAACAAAAGTGATCGATATAATGTCTTTGAACAATATTCGAAATCTGATTTGTGAACAAATTTTTGACTCAGCTTTTCATCAAGATCGATTAGGTATTAACGGCGTCGATACAAGACCTATATGCAGTACGTCATTGATGTTTGTCTATGTCCGATGATATTTCATGTAAACGACTATCAGCAATATTTGGGATATCTTTTCTCAATTTCTATTGAAATTACCACAAAATACCGATAAATTTGTTTATTTCGATGATGGTGGCATTGAATAAAGTGATATGATAGCAAAGAATCGAATACAAAACTAATAAAAAGAAGCTGTCTGTCTAGTATAATTTGAATACTGTGCAACGAAAAGAAGGATAGGGAAGTATATCCAGTGAATGCGGAACATAAGAATGAAAACATGAAAAAAAAGAGAGACATCAGTAGTAACGGCGTCTCTATGAAGTAGTATTGAAACGATCACAAAATAAGACTTAGAGTTCATTCTTTGAAGTAATCAAGATTTTACTTTCGCAGAGGTTTTTATTTCGATATTTTTCCTTTCAGAATATTTCTCTTTAAGATTCGGATAATAATCCTTAGTGGTTTGTTTACTTTGAAAAGCAATAGAATAAGAACGATAAGTAGTTTCTAATTCCTGTTCAATAATCTTCTTGTCTTATGAAATAGAGCTTTTTCTTACAATGTCCACAGTATGACTTTTCACATAATGAAGCAATATGGCGAAATCACCGAATTTTTGCAAGGTATTTACTAGTTCTGCACACTTCACTGGATTTTATTTAAAAGATGACAGTTAGCTCTTTAAAAGCAATTTTTCACTATGTTTCTTAGCTGTTTTGCAATGCTACTAATATGTTTCTAAAGTTTTATTGAATTAGGAGCCCTCATGTACTTGCTTTCTGTCTCTTCGACTTCATTGTAAATTTAAATCTATTGTCTATGAACTCTCCACAGATAAACAGATAGGCTTATTCGTCCGTTTTTCTTCGTGTATCCGGTTATTACAAGTGAATAAAATCTCTTTTACTCACGCTTTTTAAAATAAATAATTAATTATTGTGTGAAAATTACATACGTGCTTCTGAATCATTTTCTATACTAATGTTGAGTTGCCGAAGTCGATGGAAGTGTTGCAAGATCATCAGCGCATCGATAAAAGATGATTCTCTACAGATCTTTAGATATTCCACTGTTTGCATATATTTCCAACCGGATAACATGTATTTACCTATTGCTGTTGGTATCAATATTGAATGCACATTATAAGGTATTGTATGAATAATAGTATATTGATCGGGTTCATTTAACCAGCATGATACTGGAATATGTTTCGGCCATGTAGCAAGCAAACTATCAGTTTTGATAGGTGATTCCGAGAAGTAATAAAGAATGAACAATTGAATTTCGACGAGAGATAATGGTAGAATAATGACAAGGTTTTGTCCATTAACAAGACGTTCATCATCTGTATATAGATCAAGTGTTAATCTATGTAAAGATGGCATTTTAGACAATATATCGACAATGTTGCTAAATTCCCAAAACATACCATACGAATGTAATTCAAAATCTTTCAATTGAATAAGTGGTGACACATTCATTAATGTTGTTGTTGAAATGCCAGGTGATTGTCCGAAACTTATACGTAAACGGTGCACATTTGGTATAAGTTTGAATAGGTCTCCTAACATATCGCAATCAATCAAGTTGAGTGTCAATTCTTCAATGTTCGAACATATAATGTTTTTATCATTTGTCTTCAAACTTAAAAAGATGGAATCCTGATCGAACAATACAGATTTGAGCCGACCATTATTCGCAGTCAAAATATTTTTCAATAATTCACTTGAACATCGACCTGTGAGACGTTTTATATCAAGTTTTACAAGATACTTGAGATCTCTTATTTCTTTAAGAAATATGATTAGATCTGTATCAATGAAACATTCAAGTATCAACGAATACAAATTTGGAAACATCGACGATAAAGTCAACTCAAAGCGTGTTGCATGTAATTTATTCGATATGAAACTAGCCCAATTTCCATTAACCACAAATGATCGAATATTGGAGCTTATTTGAGGTAAAATATTCGATAAAATACAATCAAATTGTTTATATGTTACACCAATAAGATTCATAGAATGACAAAAATAGGTTATTGTCGAATTGAAACGAGTATTCAGATTATAAAAACCATAGATAATATCGGCACAACTAAGATATTGAAATACATGTAATGTAATTTCTTCGGGTAATATTTCAAAATTCGATATTGCAGCCATCTAAAAAGATATTATATGCGCGTAATTATTCATAGAAAGCAAAAGCATGTTGTCGCAATGACCAGAAAAAGGCCGATATATATTTTACACCTATGTAAAGCAGAGACAAAATGAAAAAAAATGCACATGCGTGCATATGCATCGCGATCATTGCGTCTCAACATCATTCACGTAAAATATACTTCTTTTTCTATCGTTTCTTATAAGCATTGAATCATACGGCTTCATAGAGAATCGATAAAGCAAATTCAATGATTGGTTTTTTTATAATGTGTCTTGTTAATGTAAATAAGATCAGAAAGTAGAGCAGTAGGAAAATCGACAGAATTTTCAATGTTGATCCGAAAATTATTGTTTAATTGAAAGTTCTCCAGAAACAATATCGACATACACCAGTGTTCTGATGTTTCAATCCTTCCTGACATAGCTGCAGACATTCGACTGACGTTACCATATTTATGCTTTTCTTACGTGAAAAAGCTTAACTATGAATATCGTTCGACTTTGTTATCTCAGTGTACAAGTCGGACAGAAGTGCCAAGACAATCACGAGAATGGCCATGTTAACCATTTCTCTTCATATACCTGAAGAGTTGGATCTACATTTATTCGGCTTCACTTATCCATGATAATTGAAAACACATTCTGATATTTCTATTGACAACTTTTTTTTCTCAGTCAACTAGTAATCATTCAGAATTGAGAAATAAAGACGAAATATGTAATTGAGTAAATTGTCAGTCAACAAAAGTTAAATTCTCTTGTTCGATGTTATGCGACTCCTAGTTCATCAGGCGTGATTTTTTTTGTTTTTCTCGACTTCAATCATTCGAACCTTTTTCTGTTTTAATTTCAAACAACTATCTCTTTGTTTTAGGCAGTTGAGTCTTGACATACCAAATGAATAAGTTAATGTGATGGTTGAATTCTGATTCATTGAATGGATTTATTATTATAGCATCGACAACGTCATAATGCAAGAAGCATTGTCTACTGGTAGAATCTCTGGTACAAAGACCTACAATCGTCTAGATTTTTCATAGATAACGATGATATGAAAAAAAACTACAGTTCATTTAACGACCGGCAAATAATAGAAGAAAGGAAGGTATTTAAAGAGAACTCTAATCAAGACTTGGAAACAAAAGAAACAACACATATTCGTAAGTCTCAGAGTAAAAATTTCGTGCACTGTGATCCTTTTCTCTGTTGCCTGCAGAAGCGAGTGTGGATTTGGACGAATAGAAGATGCTGTCTACACTCTTGTACTACATAAAGCCGCCGTCACCACCGGTTTTTGAAAATTCTTTGATTGTATCGATTTCATCTTCTATATGGTGTGAAAGATAATAAAAAGATGGAATTGTTGAACATCTCAGCTTTGAAAACTCTACCAGCATTTTTCTTTTCGATCAGAATTCAAAATTGACCATGAAGATGCAAACATGCATATCTTTATGGAAAAAAACAGTTATTCCATCAGATTTATATCTTTATTTATAATAACAGACATTCTAAAATGAGAGTGTTAGCTGAAGCTTCACATCTAACCATATCATAAAATAAAAATTTGATAAGTAATACTTTGTGGGTTTTAATCTATCAATCTCCATATCTTTTAACTACTCTGAGTATAAAAGGGCGATAACAACATGAAAAACAGAATACGAAAACTCATATGATAGATAATTAAATAGATGATGTTATGATAACTACATTTATTTAAAGATGTGCGTCAAGTCAAAGTTCATTTTTTGTTGGAGGTCTATGGAAAAATGGCTTCTTCAAATATTTGTTGGTCTATTATTATGAAATTGGGTCTTATAATTCTTCTTCTAGCCATAGCTATTCCTTTATATTATGGTTCCACCAATCCTGGTTATCTTTTATCTCGTTTGATTCATTCTTTGATATTAATTAAGCATACTTTTGTTCCAGATACCGATCGACCCATGTTAGGTGCAGAATATTGTGCTTTTGAAAGTATGCTGCGAAGCTCACCTCAAGTCAACTATGATCTAAAAGATGATCCATTGAAAATAGCAAAGGAAATGCGTGCATCTTTTCCAATTGATACAGTCGTTCCTCGTCCTATTGAATGTCAATTCAAAAAACAAATATACGAATACGATAGACGAACTGTTGAAGCCTACTGGGTGGATTATCGTACTGGAACAAAGAAGTGGAATTCAGACCGGGTCATACTTTATTTTCATGGTGGAAGTTATATAGTGGGTGATTTTCAAAATAAGTTCGGATGATTACTCATAACTCTTGATTTAAATGACATTAGCTTGTCGATTTATTCACATATTTCTTTACTTGATTGTCGCAGTAGAGGTTTTCTGTAGAATCTTTTTTTCTACTTAAAAATAGAATAGTGCTTCATTTTTCACAAGAGTAAATATTATTGAAGCAAGTATTATCATTATCTGTTTCAACTTATAGTGGATTCGAATGTCAATTATCTCGTATTTTCAATGCGATAATCATTCACTTGGAATATCGTTGTGCACCAGAACATCCTTTTCCAGCGGCTATAGATGATGCACTTACTCTCTACCGTGCAGTTCTTCAGGATGGTATTTTGCCGTTTCGTCTAGTTATTATGGGCGATTCAGCAGGTGGTGGTCTTACTTTACTCACAATACAAGCACTTCTTGCTCGTCAATTGCCAAAACCTCGTGCTGGCATTATTTTATCTGCATGGGCTGATTTTTCATTATCCGGTGAAAGCTTCACACGTAATCATCTTCCAGATGTAATTCTTCATGCCGAAGGATTTCCTTGGACGGTTGAACAAATCTTGGGTCTGAACCATAGTCAAATAATGCGAGATGATCCTTCATACAGTCCATTATTTGGATCTTTCAAAGATTTTCCTCCACTCTATATTACAGTAGGAACAGCGGAAATATTGGAGGACGATTCAAGACGAGTGGCTGACAAAGCACAACAAGAAGGAATCAATGTAAAACTCGATGTTGCAGAACATTTATTAGATGTTCATCCATTGTTTTTTCCTTATTTTCCTGAAGCACGAAGCACCCTAGACAATATTCGTCAATGGCTCGAAATCAAGTTTCAATGAAGAATCAATGAACTTTTGCTTCTCGTACCTAGTTAACGTTGTTAGCATTTTTCTTTCTGATTATTTATAGAGATAATAGATAGATGATTGTTCAACGTACACTCTTCTAGTAGTACTCAGTCTCAAAATGATAACTGAAACTCCTATGATAGTCATGACGTGAGCTTAGATCTTAGACATTAAATACAAGTCTCTCATTTTGCATCAATTATTTCGACAGTCATCATGTAGAAGCTCGTGATAATTTTACGTAAGTGCAGAAGCACGAATGAGTCAGCAAACATTACATTGTCTTCTTTGGCATCTGGCGATTGCTCTAACGTTGGAAGATGCCATCCTTGACGAAAAATGATCAATCAATAATTGAATCGATGGTTGGTAGAATCGCGCGTTGCATTAATTGATCTGCAATTAGAAGTTCGACTTATTGATTGATTTTTCTTCCAAGGTGTTAGTATAAGTCTTGTTGTCAGTTAAACTCACAAACCAACGTCAATATTTTGAAATTTGACCACAGACTAGTGTTTTTTCATTGTTAAAAAGCGACCGAAACATGTTTAAATCATCTTCAAAATTCCCCATTGTTGAAAAAGAATCTCCTTGATCAATCTTTTTATACTCATTTACAAACAATACCAAGAATCAAAGGTATGAACCAACTGATCGGTTTAACTTTCTTTGCTTTAAAATTTTCTAACCCAATCACGTACTAAAAACTATTTTTCAAAAGTATTACATGCTTGTGAACAATTTAGCATGCTGTGCATACGCCTGAATCGTTCAAAGAAATATAACTTCTACAGTATTTTATTTCTTAATAATAAAATGATAAATACTAAGAAAAGAAGAATCAGAACCGTATGTAGAAAGTCCAAATACCAATGACAATATTTGAAACCAGTAGCTTTAGCATTTCGTTCTTGATGCAAACCGTTCAAACGTTCTGGTCGATAGATCAAAAAATATTCTGATATCCAGCTATATTTGTTCGATTGAATGTTTTATATGTAAATGTACATATCGCCTCGCTTTCTTTGTACATTTCTGTTTTAGATAGAGGTAATTTAAGCCGTCCGAAGAAATATTCTGATACCCAATGACTAGCTAGTTCACCCACCAACCAATGTGTTACACATGATACGTAGCCAACCAAGTACTCCAACAGGTATGACGCGCCGATGGGTGTGGGGGTGTGGGTGTGGGTAGAAATTCATTCATCGGACACACACCCACACCCACACCCACATCTTTTATAGATGCTTTCAAACTGTCATTACCACTACTACTACAACCACATTGGCGTCTACAACAGGTAAAAGAACTAATAACTAATATGGTATGTGGGTGTGGGTGTGAATATTAGTGGGAAGACGTCCTTCTCATTCACACTCACATTTCACACTTTATAGATACGATACGCCGTATAAGAGAAGGACTTATAAAAGTGAAGATAACCGGAAGAAGTTAGAAATCAGCGACAAGCATCATCAATGAGTGGAAGTAGTCGTTCTCGAAAAAGCTAAGCCGTTTCTTTTCCTACCGACATATGCGGATCAAAATTTAAGCAGCTCACTATTACGCATCTTTTATTCCGCCGCCATATAAAAATTTTCATAAACAATCTTTTGCTTCTGAATAAAGAATGTGCATGTGGATATGGGCTTTAGATGTGACTGTGACTTCGATGTCTGAAAGCGTGTAAGCGCGGACGTCTATTTGAGTGCAGTTATTTGATTAGATCTTCACTTCATATCCATCAATACCAGCATCCATAACCTACGAAAATTACTACCAAGTCAGATGGTAGCAATCGATTTGATGATAAGCTAGATGATTAAAATAAAATACTATATATAGAATCGACCAGATTTCGTACAGCTCATTTTCGGCTATGAGTTTGTTCGACGATGTTGGAACCGGCAACAAATATTGCGAGCAAAATGGACTAATTCGCTTGAAGAGACGCCCTCATAAAATGTAGATGTGAAGACCGTGTGTGTCTGTTATGAGTTTTCTGGAAATTTACAAGAGGTATCATACGCGAAAAGATGTTGGGCTCTTAAATTCTTTTGAGAATCGTATAGATTCGCAACGCAGCGGAATATTTTTATATTGATATAATAACGAATGAGACATTGTTACTACCTTTCTGTGATTTTGCTTCATGCAATCAGAATAAGAAAATTCGATTTGTCTTTTTACCCCAAGACTTTGACAAAATATCTCATAGTCACTGAATAGACGATAGAACACTAGAAACAAATAATCAGCTTTTACTGCTGCTGCCTATTACATTTTCATGTTGGACGCATAAAGACTCCTTTTGGATTTATAGTCGACGGCAAGTCGCAACACAGAGTGGTCATTATGTCTATTACAATTTAATCTATCCATCGATCTATCTTGAAAAATCCATGTATTGAAAGGCGCACACAATCGACTACTCAAACAAATTATCATGTAATCTTTGAGACCTGATAAACGACATGATATACTTTGTCATGGATAACGATTCAACAGATGAATAGATTGACCTAAGATTCCCTCTTAAACTACTAGGATCTATGAAACTTTTTTTTAAAGACTAGAAATTATGCATCAACTGGATAGAAAAAATGAAAGATTTACAATGGTTGATTATCGATGATAAAACGGATTAAGTTCAACAACATTTCGCATTTTCTATTACGATTAACAATGCGCGACAAATGACACCGAATCCGTATGAAATCATCAACATGGTATCTATTTGAATAATTTCGTTTTGTCAATTTTATAAGATCTACTAAGATTCTTTCATTCCATATCCTCTTTATGTTTCAACATGTTGAACGCTTAATTCTGTTGTTCACTTTTGATCACCAAGAACATTATTTCTTCGGTTATGCGTCTGTAACGATCTTTAAAACGATTATGAATAGTTCATTGACACAAAAAGATCTTAAATATTAGGGAAAAATGTTATGATTGTAGAACTTAATATTGCACGAATAACATTCCATCATCGATTTTTTTGTTAATATGGTTTGGAATGAGCTGATAGGACCATTGAATTGTTGTAAATTAATCGATCAGAAGAAAATAAAAAGCACAATATTTTCTATATTTTTTTTCCTTGTTGAAACAGATTCTGATATGAATCCCGGTCTAATATGTTCTTAGCAAGCTACTAATGTCAAATTCAAATGAAAAACTAATTGTCATATTATTATTGCCTCTGTTATGTGATTGATACAAGTCGAGTCAAAATTTTTTTATAGACGCTTGAAACTTCGTCATGGATAAATTTAAGTTTCAATAGAAGATGTGTCACGCACAACTAAATAGAATTTAGAAAGAAAAACTCAAAAAAAATTGAAAAAATGAGATCAAAGAACTGAACTTATTGTCTTCGAATTAGGACTGACTCATAAGTAATATATAAAGCATGAATATGTTATGTTTTTAAGTTTTTCTGGATTAAATTTCAACTAAAAATAATGAAAAACTTTTTAGTTTATGTATTCTTTGTGGTAACATAATGTCTTCCTTGGGAACTTGATGCTGAAACAAAAATATGTTGATTTGATTGTTTACAAAAATGCTTCCGAACATCATTTCCTGATGTCAACGTCGAAGAAGTCATTCGTGAACGTCTACACAAAAATAACAAGTACGTGCTATGTTGCCTTAATGAAAATGAACATGAAAATTAGAACTTATTTTTAGATGAAAGACAATTATGGCTGATTAAAAACATAATCTGCGTGAGTTTATTTTTATCTAAAATTCAACTTTGTCTGTGGCGTGTTTAACGATGAAGTTATATTTAAATCTTTCGGATGCCATCAAACTTTGAAAAAAAAAGAGATTTCAGATGCGATTTTATCAGATTTTTGCAGTCTCAGCAACCTGTTTTTCAATTCGAAAGGGTGCATCGAGCGCAAGTAAAATTCGCTATAGTAATTAAGTGACTAAAAATCAATAGATCGGCTGCTACACTTCATGTATTTAAATAATTGAAAACAAGATTCATCTTTATCACCTTGATTTACTTCAGGTAATAGACAATAAATAGTATTTATGAATAAGTTTCTTGGTTCAATGATTGAATCAATAAAAAAAAAACGTTTCTAAGTACTTTTCATTTATTTTCGAAGTAAATAATAGTAAGTGGAAGTTCAAATTGAGATTTTTACAGCTTCTTTCTCCTCTTAGGCTCTATCAACCGGAATTAAAGATACTGAACAATACTAATAACAAGCCGTAGAAAGTTCTAGAATATTCCAGAACCTTCTTGGGATTAAAATAATATTAAAGATGATGTTTTGCTTTGTCACAACTGCCAAATGATTAATACAAATGCATAAACTGATTAAATTATGCTTTTCACGAATAATCAAAGTAAGTCTTAATAAGTTCAAACGAGATACATAATAGATCATTAAGATCTGCTGTAGATATAATGAATGTTTACAACAGGTTCATTAGTTGATAAAATCAATCGTTAGTCGAATCATAATAAATTATGAAAATAAAACAGTACTAATAAACTTTAATAAAGTATCTTATCATATATATGAGGATTAACATAATAATCAGTTTTTATTCTATTGTGACTAATACAGAAAATTTTTGGTATCAGACTGTTCCATCACCAGATGAAAAAAAATTACTTATAAATAATTTCAAACAACAAATCTTGATTCTAATCCTGATTATATAATATAAATCCAACAAAAAATGAGTATTTTTGTGACACTTCACTATTAATTAAATTTTTGATGAAATAAGATTAA